ATTGGACCCATTGGACCCTTTATTGGACCCATTGGACCCTTTATTGGACCACACCTTTCGAGCTCTTTTTATCTGCAGAAATAATGTACTTCGGCCAAATCGTTCAAAAGCACAGACAGGAATGGGTCTTCTACGTGCTCTGACAAGAATTCTTTTTTCTCCCGCCATCCTACGTTTTTATGAGCAAGGTACCGTATACCCTCTTTGTAATTTTCAAGGAGGCTTTTCTCGTATTTTGACGAACAGAAGTATCCACGGAGCAGATTGAAGCAAATTTCGTTTAGGAAGCAGATTAACCCTTTATTCACATTTTCAAGGACGGCTGCCGTAATGTTATGCTCGGGTTCTCTGAGGAATCGTATTTGTTTCCTGTAAGCGTTTTCGTGAGCTGTCTGCACCTTAATAGCGTGGTCGTATTGATCAGCCTCATCTAAATCCTCATCACCGGTGTCCTCATCACCGGTGTCCTCATCACCGCTTTCCTCATCATCACTTTCCTCTCTGCCGCTTTCCTCGTCGTCACTGCTCTCCTCTACCCATTCCTCCCAAAGGACCTCGTCCTCTTGCTCAACGACACTCATGTCGTCATCACTTTGATTCTCATTCTCTGAATCCTCCTCGTCGTTCTCGCCAAAAGAAATGCTTGGTTTCCATTCGTTTATAATATCGGACAGTTGCTTGTCGTATCTTTGGGCTGGTGAGCCGGGATCACTGTCCCGCAGCGCACGCAAACCCTCCTGCGGAATGGTAATGATAGCTCTCTTCATCTTGAATGTTTTTGAAGTGTAAAGCTCGGTCTTATATACTTTTTGTGCGCCTTTTTTTTTGATGGCTCTTTCCCACCATTATAATCGGTTGAAGGAAGCGGGTACCTAGCGCGAGTTGAGTCGTTTGTTGCGACACTACCGCTGTCTGGTGAAGAATAAACGAAGTAAGCTACAGGACCGTCAACTAGTGCTATGCCAACCTCGGCGATCATTAAAAGAAAGAACACTTTGGCAAAACTACCACGAGGT